TTATGTGTGAATTAACTAATGTATATCTATCTGTCTGTCTGTCTATCTAGTTTTCTTGCAGGTGTTGGGGTTTGATCTATGCACTTGTGAGGGAGGTTCTTTACCACTTGAGCCATGCCTCCAGCCCTCAAAATGTTTTTAAAAGAAAAATGCTATTGTAATTAATCCTACTCTCACTTTTCTTTAAAAATATTTTTCCTTTAAAAATAGCCTTGAAAGCCGGGTGCCAATGGCTCATGCCTGTAATCCTAGTTACTCAGGAGGCAGAGATCAGTAGGATCCCGGTTCAAAGCCAGCCCAGACAAATACATCGTGAGACCCTATCACAAAAAAACCATCACAAGAAAGGGCTGGTGGAGTGGCTGAAGGTGTAGGTCCCTGAGTTCAAACACCAGTACAGCTAAAATAAAATAAAATAAAAATAGCCTTGGAAAATAACATTTTGGTGACCATTTTCCAGGTATGTTATCATTTTCCCTTTTTGATCTCAATCATATCTGAAACAGCATCACTTCCAAAATGCAAAAATTAGACTTTAAAACAGTTTATATCAACTTATAAATCATGGCAGTGAGCTGAGACCATTTCATTAGTTTTTTGTTGTTGTTTGTGGGGGTTTTGTGGTGGTGGGGGACTGGGATTCAAACTCAGGGCTTTGTGCTTGCAAAGCAGATGCTTTACCACTTGAGCCACACTTCTATTTCATTTTGCTCTGGTTATTAGAGATGGGGTCTTGTGAAATATTTGCTTAAGCTGGACTCAAACTGTGCTCCTCTTGATCTCAGCCTCCCAAGTAGCTAGGATTACAAGCATGAGCCACTAGCACTGTGCTTACTTGTGAGGTTTTTGTTGTTGTTGTTTTTGACACAAGGTCTCACTACATAGCCCAGGCTGGCCTCAAACTCTTGATTCTCTCGCCTCAATTCCTAAGTGCTGGATTTCTAGGTGTGTGCCACCATCACCAGCTTCTGAGACCATTTTCATTTAGCATATTATAACCACAAATAATAAAATGTATAGCTTTTTTGAAACTTCTTACACATTTAGCCATACACGTAAACATTTTGCCTAATCAGGTGGCATTTATTTTTTAAACAGAAATACTTAGGGAAAAAATGATGTTTATAATTTGAAATTTTTATTTTTGTAAAGCTTTGCTTAGAAGTTCCCTTTACCAAGCATAAATGTGATTGTCTTCTGAGAACTAATTTTTACGTCCAAGTATTTTTATAATACATATGCCCAAGGTATAATATAAGAAATTCACAGGGGTCCAAAGTAAAAACTGAGTTTTAGAGGATGTCAGTCCTAAATTGGCAAACACGGTATTTGAGTGTTTTGTCCTCAGCTGCCCTTTCTCCTTCCCCTTTTAAAATCTACTTGTCCAGGGAGAGCTAGAGCAATTGGGGATATACTCTTACATGCTGTTTAAAAGCTGAGCATGGATCCAGTTTTTACCAGAAGGTCACTGATTCTCAGCCTAACATGAGCTGGGGAGAGGGGCATCTCTGGGGCCTGACCCATTCCAGTGATACTGTCCAATGCAATGAGACTGAGGACATCCCAGGGCCCTCAGGTTAAGGCCCCAGCCCCAGGCTCCTCCTCCTTGCAGGATTTAGCTCATTTCATAGATCTTCTATGAGCTCTACCACCTTGGCTAGAATGTTAAAGGGAAACCAAGAAGCCGGGTCTGAGGATACCTGATCCTGTCTCTAATCTTCTATAGCTATTCAATTATCTTAAATGAAAGCAGGGAGGGGATGCTGGCAGATTTCACTAAGATGAACCTCTCCTGCCCCCCACGCACAGAACTTTTCTCACAGACTCAACAATCCCAGGGAACAGACTATCCAGTCCTTCCCAGGGATTTTCCAGGTACTACCGTCTCACTGTTGACCTCTTTTTTGAAATCCTTTGCTATGCAGTGCCTATGTAGATATAAGGGAATATACACATCCCAATTTCTGGTGCAGTTGTACCCTCACAGATGCACTATAGGTGGAAAGAGAACATGTGGCACACAAATACACATGTGTGCACACACATATACTCATGCTATAGGGTAAAATTAAGTCTTGATTTATTTAATGGAAGATATGAAAAAAATCTATACTGAACTTATCTGGCTTCTGGAGCCGATGCAAGCTGTCTTACTTAGCATGGTCTTCTTTTCCCCTAAAGTGAAATTGGTCTGTGAGACTGTGTGCAAGATAGTCTTGCTAAATTCAAGTTTATTTCTGTGCTTTTTCCCAGTCTTTTTAAACTCAGGACTTGGCATGTGACTAGCTAACTAGAAATGAAACAGTCTGAACTGAATATGCACAGAGATAGAACAAGAGTGCAATCACATACCTAGTGAAGTAAAATACTTTATCCACTTCCTTAAGCCTTCCTTCCTCCCAACTCCAGAGGAGTTACAACCAGGCCAGTTAGAGCCCTGGAGGAGCCACAGTAAGGGGTGCAGGTGGGAAGGAGATGAGATTGGCCTGATCTGATCCACATTCCATCATGGTACAAGAAGAGAAGATTAGGCAGAACATGGCTGACAACCGTAGCAAGAAAAAACCACAGAACCCTCTTATGCTGGCACCCTACCCAGTGCAGACTATGGAACTCACCAGTTGTCCTGCAGGCAGCACACTCAGTATGGTAATCTTTCCATCCATGGAGACTCTTTGTCATGATGTTAAAACTGGCCTGGTGCTTCAGAACAGCAGGATTGTGCTTTTCAGGAATTATGGTGTTTGTTTACCTGGTTATACTATTGAGCAGTATAACTGGCACATGAGATTCTGTTAAGGTAGTTGGAGTCAAGAATTCTGAAGTAAATAAAGTTACCCTGACTTTACTCTGCATAGTGTACATAGTGCAGTGATTTTGAGTAAAAATGACTGAGGGTCTGATTCTGCCTATGGGGCTGGAAATACAGCTTGAACTTTCTATACTTAGTTTTCTCATCTACAAAATGTATATAATGGAATATATACATATAACTAATAGAATATAATTAATATTATGTTAAATATAATATTGATATGTAGACTAAATGAGCTAATACACTGGAAGCTCTTGGCTCAGTGTCTGGCAGATAGTGAGCCCTTCATCAAATTTTACTCAATATTATAATTTATATGTATGTTATAAATAATTCTGAAATAGATGATCATGTATGTAATTCTTTTCTTTTGTTTGTTTTTTGAGGTTCTGGGGTTTGAACTCAGGGCCTCATGCTTGCTAGGCAGGCTCTCTACCTCTTGAGCCACTCCACCAGCTACATCTGGTTCATGTTGTGTATTCTTTGGCCATAATTCTGATTACTTCCTTTTGTTAGGTTCCTAAAAGCATAATTAGTTAGATCTGAGAAGAAGACTGCAATGGCTACATCTTATTACATTTTTTAATTTATCTAAAAAAAAGTTCAACAGCTTCCTTCATTAGTCTATGGGGGAATTCTTTAGCTCTGAAAATGAAACTCAGAATGTGTAATTTGGTAAATCATAACTCTTGTATAAAAGTTTAGTGCTCTTCAGAATTTCCTTGTGGAAGTCCATTAGCAATAAAAAGAAACAAAATGGCGAGTCTCCCTATTTTTAGAAAACTCCAACAGGCCCAGAAGCAGACATTGGCTCAGAAGACCTTGCCCACTGGCCTCCTTTAATCCTTTAAGGACATTCTTTCCTTGGCATTTCTTTCCCAACACCTGCTTTAAATCCCTCACTTTGCATTGCCATTGGACTTTCAGATTGCATCCATATTTTTGACCTTTTTAATCTAAAGATGTGACTTTTGACTAACCTTTGACATGTGGGTCAGCAGTTAAGCCGTCTATTCTCTCAAACCCCTTTCATCTCTCGACTTTTTAAAGGACAAAGCCAGTTGTGCATAACTTGTACTTATTTTGGTCATCTCAAGCTATTCTTACACGATGAAATTTCATAAGGCAGGTGAAAATTATAGGAAACAAACTTTTAAGAACATTAGACTTTGGGTTTCTCAGGAAAATTAAGCTTATTCAAGCTTTAATTTAATGTCATTTTTTAAGAGGAGGCCAAAAGAGTATTTTTAATGTTCTCAGTATAGTTTTAATATTTTGAAAGTGGGAGTCATTTGCAGGACTTTGGTGAGCATTAAATAAGAAATCATCCCTGTCCTCAGGTAGATTTTAACTTTTTAGGGGGATACATAGACATCTATAACACATGGTAGAGGAAATGTGGGCCATAAATCAGATAAGGGGATTCTAAGGAATGAGAGAGTAGAATGAATAGTAGAAATCTGGGACTTCATTTGAGAAATGATGTTTCAGATCAGCCATGAAGGATTTTAGTGAGTGGAAATTTGACAGAGGTGGAGCTGGTAGTAGAAGGAGTAAGAATGGGAACATTTTGCCCAAGTACCTGGAATCACAAGAGTAAAGTCACAGTAGGAGAAAGGGACACATTTGGGGGTCATCAGGTGAAGTAGATTCATGAAGGATTTGGGTGGAAGGTAAAGAGAAGGGGATGCTGGGGTCTGGCTACAGACAGCCTGCTTTGTTGGGGTATGATATATGTCTCAGTCTGGTGGATGAGGTACAGGTTTAGTAGCAGGGAGATGATCTGACCACAGCTGTGATTTTAAGGACAATTAGGAAGCTGTGTGCTAGTGGGTAGAAGAAAAGAGAGAGGCAGCTGGTGTGTGGGAGAGGTGTCAGGTGATACTGGATAGATTTTTAGACTAAAGCCAATAGGGAGTTGGGTGTGCCAAAGCCAGGACAATGGCTGTGAAGATAGAGAGAAGGAGGGGGTATGCTTAATAAATTTGTAAAATTATTCTTAAAAAAGAAAGAACAGTTTCTTTTCTTAAATAATTTATTTGTAATAAATTAACAATTAAATAGCAAATTATAATCAGTGGTTAGAAATTCCCAAAACACATCAACAAATAAAATCTTTGGTTGATACATCTACTCACATTCTATAAAACAGGATAATTCCATTTCAATAAAAAGGTATATGAAGAAGATAACTGAAAGCTTTTGAAAACAGAGAAGAATAATGATAAGGTGCTTGTTCATTTTCAATCCCAAAATATTTGGTGGCTGAACAGAGCTGTGGAAAGGGTGGATGCAGGGTCAGGAGACCTGACCTTGGTGTCCTGGGTTTCCACTTAACTGTCCATGTGACCTTTGAAAAGTCACTTCAAAACCCACTGGACCTGTTTTCTCCTCTGCAAAATGAGGAAGTGGAATTAACCAATCAAATGGTGTATATAAATCAGCTTATACCAGTCTTGCTTACATTCTGTACTGGCTATGGACAGTACTAGAAAGTCCACAGACAGACAAAACACTTTTGTTCACGTAACAGAGAAGCACAGGTCACACAGTTTGTCTAAACTTTTCTGCTGTATTCAGATGACACATAAATAGATGTACCATTTAGTGAATTACAATGCATTTGAGCTATAAATTCTTACTGCTGCAATCACCAAGCCTTAAGTATAGATACTAAAGAAGGTGCTGGAGTGATTTTTGAATTAGCTTCCAGTTTCATGGATACCTTGTCAAGATTTTGGTTCAGATGTGATTACAATTCTTTTTGACAGTCAATTTAATCTAATACAAAAGAGATATACAAAATGATATATAAGAATCCAAGGTGGTGAAATAGATATTTTAAGACGTGAATTACATAGAGTAATAATGTAAAAATTTATTTGTTTCTCAATGGATTTCCTGCAGGTTTTCTTTAAATAATTATCCCACTCATGTAGTGTAATGATAGTTCAGTCTCTTCATAGCTTTTCAGGAGCTCTCTGTTCCATTTTAGTGGGAGGCCCCCTTTGAGCACACAGACCACAGCCCCAGCTGCAGGAAAGTGGACTCTTTCTGGGTAAAATAGCAAAACCCTATAATGAGGAACAGCTGTGCTTTCCTTGGCAACATGTTCAAATGAAGCTAAGAAAAGAAAATACTGTCAATAGTGTTATTTTGATTTAATGCCAGTTGCGAGAGTAATGTTACCCAATTGACAGCTGTCATCAAAACTTTGACATGTACTGTCACCTTGTAAATTACCTAAGCTGAGGAGAAAGAAATGCCCATTCAGAGAAAAATACCCTGGTGTCTGTGCTTAATGTATTTTCCTGAACTCCATTGGGTCCGAGGGGAAGTTTATTGAATGCAGGTTAAATAAAAGAACCTGGAAGGAAACCTTGCTGGTTCAGATAAACTCATTGTGCTATAAATGCAAAGGCTGTAGACCTTAATGACATAATGATCTTGCTAGAAGGAGAGGAGATTGTAAGAGACCTGTCAGATTTCTTCCCATCCACCAAACCAAGGGGCTCATTTCAACTTTTCATAAAATTCTCTCTAGAGTGGCAGGAAATTTAAGTTCTTCTATTGTATATCTACTGGAAATTCCTAACCACAAATCCATAGCTTTCTTGCCTATGGTTCAGAAGATTTTAAAACCAATGTAACTGTCAAGAACCTTGGAGAAATAAAATGTCCCAGAGATAATCAAATGACATTCATTGCATTCTGGGCTCAACTATAGAATTTACCTTTGAATCCAAGTACCATTCGGATCAGATGGCCTGTGGTGATGAGTGGTCTAAATCCATGTTATTTCATTGGCGTTGGGTACCACCTTACCCCCCAGCACAAGATTGAGCTAGTGCTCCATGGCGGGGAAGGGAAGTTGCAATAGTAATTAGAGTCTGTTATTACACGTCTGTTGTTTACTCTAAATGTTTTATTTAGACTAAGCTTTGCTAAATGAGTTGTTAAAACATAATGTTTGGATTTTCATAATTGTAACTGAATTTTACAGGACTCAAGTCAGCAGGAACTCAGACTGAGTCAAAAATTTTAATACCTGACATGTGGAACTAAAGGGTTTCCTAACTTATCTTAGCTGACTTCTTTAAATAAGAGAACTATGAACTCTAACTCATAAATTACCAAGTCTCTCCTTTTACAAATGAAACCCACTATTTGTCTTCAGAGATTAACTGTTACAGTGGTGTTACTCAATGCAAGTAGTACCTCACACTTCCAGAGAGTTTAAAGAACACAGAGCTCTTCCCCACAGAGATAATCCTCACTCCTTAGACGGGACTCTTCCCCACAGATTTTCTTACCCAGGTTAGTTTCTGCGGGGGCTATCTTTTCATTCATCAATCTGAATATTTCTTTTATTTGCCCTTGATCAACTATGTCTCCTTTTTCAAAAGGAACTTCTAAATATGTTATCAGGGAAACATTCTGCTATTTGTCTGTGATCCGTTAGGAGAAAATTTCTGCCTTAGTACTAAGGTTCTTGAGTAAAACAATGGTTTTTAAGCCTTTGAGGTTTTTTTCCTTTTTGCAAACATCTTATGCAGAACCTAGATTTATAGAACAGACAGAAGCAGGCTGTGTCCCCCCTCAAGTCCTGGGGGCAATGGGCTCCAGAGCCACATTCCTCATGGCCTCCTTTCAGCTCCCTGCCCCTGTCCTGAGTCCCGATTCTCCATCAAGTCATTTCTGGAAAACGAACAGTCCGTCCACAGCCAGTGACTTCTGAATGAGTACTGCCCTGGGAGATGACAGCCAAAGCCAACTATGCAACACGGTGGCTTGGGCCAGGTGAAGAAACCTGGTATTCCTCCAGTAAGGTTCTGTCCTCCAGGCCCGGTAGGTGGGGTGCTAGGGGAAAAGCCCCAGGAGATCCCGCTGGGCAGCCACGCCTGTTTGCTGTAGACTTTGCTCCCCCAATACCTTGACCAAGAAGTTGATATACCTCATTGCTAGACGAAGCGTTTCATTTTTGCTCAGTTTTTTGTCTGGAGGGTGGGTGGGGATGAGTTTCCTCAGCTTGGCAAAAGCACTGTTGACATTCTGCTGCCTCCACCGCTCCCTGCTGTTTGTGAAGATCTTCCTGGTCATGTCTGAGCTTCTGAGAGAGAAAAGAGAAAGGGCCCTGTGGAGCCAAGATCTTATAAGAAGTCTGGTTGCAATCACATGTTCTATAAAAACCTGCAATGTGAGATGTTCTCAAGTCAGATTTTTGGAAATTCATTTCCTCATTTTCAGGTTTTTAGAATTTTCCTTTAAGAAAATGTAGCAGAAGAACCAGACAGTGGTGGCTCATGCTTGCAATCCTATCTACTGGGGTTGTGGGGGTGTATGTGGGGAGGACAGAAAGCTAGAGGATCACAGTTTGAGGTCAGCCCAGAAAAAAGTTTAAGAAACTCCACTTCAGCCAATAGTTGGGTGCAGTGGTGCCTGTCATCCCAGTCACATGAGAGGATGAGATTAGGAGGATCTTGGTTCCAGCCCAACCTGGGTAAAAAAAGTTTGTGAAACTTCTCAACTGAGAGAGAGAAAAAAAGAGAGAAAACAACACACTTCAGCCCTTTTTTCCCCCGACTGTTTTGAAGTTCAAGGCTGCTTTATTCTAATACCTCTGTGATGTCCTTTATAACCAACTCTTTCTGACTGATCAGAAAGTCAGGTACAGTACAGGATCGATGTGTGAATAAAATACACATTTAGCCCATACAGAATTGGATATGAATCAACAGTGCATCGGGTTTCATGAATAAAAGGAGATTCAGACTGGAGCAGCAAGATGGCACCTGGAGGATTGGGCTTCACTCTATAGGAGCTGAACTATGCACATGGACCACGTTTGGAGGAGGATAAGCAGGGTGAGCAGTGGCCTTAACATCCTGATATATGAGCAACAGAAGTGTGGTATGTAGCCTGATGAAAATGGTAAGACTCTTGGCATGCTGTAGCTACACATGGGTGTCTTGGAGGTTGCACTGGAGAGCTGCTTGTCATCAGATACTGCCAAATCTTTTTTCTTGCCATCTTTAACTCTTTGAGGCCCAGGCCCCTTTTTCTCCAGGTGGCTTGGATTAATATGTGCTAATGGGAACCTTTAGGATGCCTTGGTAAACGAGCCTAAGCCAAACACTGGGCAGTTTGGTGTTCTTGGCTCATTGCTGTCAGGTTGCTCCTTGCTCTAGCCTCAGCTCTTCCTGAGCACCCAGCCCCTTCTAGTTCCTCCAAAGAGTGATACCTACTGCAAACTCCACCCTTTCACTCATGTCATTTTCTCTCTTTTGAATTCCCTCCTCATACTTGCTCATGTATTTCTACACATTCTTTAAACAGCAGCCTACTTCTCCTTTCCACCAAGTCCTGACTATGTAAGAGGCTTCACAGAATAGTATAAGACTCTTGACATGCTGAGCTGCAGCTCCCTGTCCTCCCACCATCTCTAGGGTAAACAACCCACACAGTACTGTGCTGTGCTTTTTCAGTAAAGTACATATTTGACATTTTATTATAAAATAAGCTTTGCATTAGATGATTTTGCCTAACTGTAGGCTAATTAGGTATTCTGACCACATTTAAGGTAGGCTAAGTTAGTTATGTTTGGTAGATTAGGTGTATTAAATACATTCAATTTACAATGTTTTCAACTTACGGTAGGTTTACTAAGGTATAATCCTGTTGTAAATGGAGGCACAGCTGAATTATTCTGGCTGCTGGATCCTCAGGAGCTAGCTGCCTATGCTGACATGGGACAGGGAAACATAGTCTGTATGAACAGACCAGTCATTCTAGGGGGATTCTACCAGAGTGAGTGGCTGGACCAAGTAATCTTTCTGCTTGGAAATGCTGCAGTGCCCTGCCCATTGTATTTTACCTAACCTGAGTTGTTTGGTTCTATAATAAAAGTATGAGTGTTGTCAGAAATGAAAACAAACTAAAACCAAAATAGGATTACGGTTTGAATCTGAATCAAGGTAATTTTAATATTGCATACCTCGAGATGTGTAGGTAGATGATATAAGGATGTATATTGAAATATGTTGAAAAATGGGGGATGGGAGGTTAAGGTGTAAGGGAGAGTATTTGATGGGATTGAACAGACCAAAGTAAAGCACACCCACAGAGGGCATACCTTGAGACATCCCTTTGAATGTCAATTCAAATATTAATTATGAAAACCAGGAATATAAAATAGGAACGGTGTGTGGGAGGGTTCTATGGGGTGGGGGGTGAAGGAAGGAGATTGGGGTGACGGTGTGTGGTTGGTGAACTTCATATACCTGTATGAAACAGAACTAGAAAACCTCTTGCAATTGCTTTAAGTGGGGTGGGGAGGGGGCTGAAGGGGAGAGACGAGGGGGGCAATGTAAATAATGTACAATATAAGACTAATCAGAATTGTCACTATGAAATCTCCCCTGTATCATGAATATATCCTAATAAAATATATTTAAAAATAAGATAAAAAGAAAACTCAAGTTTTGTTCATACTGGAGCTGGTTGGGACTGTGGGAGCAAAGTTACTTTCAAGGTTCTCTTGGCAAAGAGGGTTTAGCTCATTCGATAAGTCAACTCTAGTCCCATGGGGGGTCTTTTTCAGGCTAGGAGGAAAAAAGATTAGGCAGAATAAACTGACTGTGGTGTTCTCTTCTAAGAGAGCTGAGCCTATTGTGCCAGAAGCAGACAGAAGGAACAGAAAGAAGACTGGCTTCAAAAATGTAGCATGGCATCCTAGGGGTGCTTAATAATTACTTGTTGATTTATCCTCAAGTGTATTACTCTGCTTCTCCACAGGAAAATAGAAATCAGTGATGTAACAAACTGGAAAAGCTCAAAGTAGAGGTCACTGGGAAATTACTGAAGTACTTTTTAAATCAAAGGAAAATTGCACTTAATGTTTTTCAGTTGCAAGGACTGATTGCTGAAAATCTTGATTTCAGAGTAATGTGAGAGCTAAAAAAACAAAACAACAACAAAAAAAACCTACACCAGATGGAGAAATCATCTGAATCACAGAAAACTTTTGATAGATGTCAAAATAAGGAGGAGGCATTTAGGTCACACAGGGAATCAGTGGCAGGACCTGAGTTCCAAGCCTAGGAATTTATACATTTGTCACCATTGAGGACTTCCATGAGGTCGGGTTCATAACCTGTTCTTGTTCCAAGGACCCTTTTGGCAGCCTGGGGAAGCCTAGAGATGCAATCCTCTCAGAATAATGATTTTAAATATATAAAATAAGCTGGTAGTGTGCTTGAACAGGCCTAGTGCTTGCCTAGCAATCTTAAGGCCCTGAGTTCAAACTCTAATACAGTAACACACACACACACACACAAAGTCTTTGGTTCTCTTCTCAGAAGGATGATTTCAAATGCATAAATTAACAAACAGAAATAATAACCAATGATAGCTGGTGGATATTAAAACACTATAATTAAAAATACAATATGGTAAAAAAAAATACAATATGGTGATTTATGTGCTTCACTTTTAACACTTGTTTACCTACCTAATCAATCTCACTCCCCAGCCACCTCCAATTTGGTACATATTCCATGCACACTCAGACGCATTCTAAAAAACCACCATATACATTATTATGCAACTTACTTTTCTCTCTTAGGCAATTCTGCAGGATATATTAACTCAGTGCACAACTAAACACTGCTCTTTGGGAAGCCACCAAGCCGGCGCGCTTCACCTGCCGCTGTGCATTGGGGAGCCACCTGTTCTCAGGACCAATTAACAGGGGACCTCCATCTCTTCCAAGGCTACCCTTGCCCGCCCGCTTCACCTCCCAGGTTTCCCTTTTTCTTTTTCTATCTTTTGCTCTCCCCTAGCCAAGCATTGCCCTGCCCAACGAAAAAGTATCTCAGGAATCCATGAAAAGCTTCGGGGTTGAAGCTTCCTATCTGCGAAGTGTCCGCGATTGCTTATAGACCCACCACCGGGAGACACACTGGGGTGAGCGGGGATTGGTGTACCCCGAGTTGCACATCAAGCCCAAGTATCTGTAACAGCGCGCATTAGGGAGCCGGACTGGGTCGCCGGGGGCTGTGCCACCCCCTGCCCTGCGAAAAGTCCCCAGGTCTTCCCAGCGAGTCGCCTTCGTGACTATCAAGTCGCCGACACATCCCTGCCCGTCGGGGCAAATGTAGGTCAAACTCCAGGGACTAAGCAAGATCACCTGGGTGGTGCCCACCTTCGCCCGCAGTCCACTCACCTCCTTGCCAAGAGCCGGGAACCCGCGCTGTCGCCTTCGCTGTCGCGGCGACCGGCCGTGTGCGCCCTCCGCTGGACGCCGCGCCTCGGCCTTTATAGGACGCCGCCTTTGTCTCAGGACTGCGGGCTCCCGCTAGTCCCTCCCCACTTCCCACACCCTGGTTTCCAGGGACCAGGCCTCCCACCTGCCCTGGAAAGTGAGCAGAGGAGGAAGGAGGACCCCGCTTTGTTTAAGGCTTGGGGACAGGAGGGGGGTGCGGCTTACCAACCTCCTTCTCCAACACAGACAAACATCCTAGTGGAGTTCCTGTCCGTGGTTAAGTCAGCAGATGTTTATTCAAGTAAGTACAGCTTCCTTCCCGATGCCCACGATCCCCTAAACTAGGATTTTAGGGGGTGGGGTTCACCATCTGCACTTCTGCCAAGGGTACCCAGGAAATTAAGATGTACGGACAAATTTAACAACTACTTCACTGGACAGATTCCTGGATTTATTGATCTCGACTCCCCTTACCCCACACAGAGCTTGGGTATTTCAGGATGGGTCTCCTCTTTGGTCTTCCTGTTTCAGCACCTGCCTCTTCCATGTGTCCTCTTCATCACCCAGAATGATCCTATGAAAACTCAAGGCAGACACTGTCACTTCTTTCCTCAAAACCCTGCAGGGGCTCTCATTTCATTCCGAATTAAGCTGAAAGCCAGGCATGTTGGTACTCACCTGTAATCTCAGCACTGGGGGAGGCCGAGGCAGGCCGACTGCTGAACAGTTTAAGGGCAGCCTAGGCTAGAGGGAGATTGTCTCAAAAAAACAAAAACAAAAACAAAAACAGAGCATGCATACAAAGTTAAGCTGATGCTTTTAAATGGTCCCTGAGATGTCCTTTTATCCATTTGTCCTGTTTGTCACTTCTCTCCCTGGGGTTCACTGAGCTCCAGCCACTCTGGCTTTGTCTCAGGAACACACTAGATACCTTACTGCCTGGAAGTCTTTGCACTTTCTCTTCTCCCTAAAAACACTCTTCGAATTATCCATGATTCCTTCCCTTACAGCCTTTCATTCACTCAACAAATCAGTACTGAAAGCTTACAATGGCCAGGCCCTGTTCAAGGTGCTAGGGACACAACCTCAAACAAAACCAGACATAAATCCCTGCCCTCAAGCTGACATTCTGCAGATCTTTACTCAAATGTCACCTTCTCAGAAGTTTCTAACCATAATGGCTATACTTGTACCTACACACACACACACACACACACACACACACACACACACACACACACTTTTCATACTTCTGTCTCTATATTCTTAGCACTCATCCCAACTTAGTAATGTTTACTTATCTTGTCTGTCTCTTCCACACTCATTACCCCCACCAAATATATGTTGATCAAGTGTTGGTTGATTAATGAGTGTACAAGCAATGAATTTCTAGGTATCTTTGTCTCTGAAAGACCCAATACAGGACTTGGCACAATGAATTCGCAAATGTATTACAGCTTGCTGAATAAGAGCAAAGGGTTCTGGAGTTGCATTACCCAAATTGAAATTTCTTGGAAAACTATATAGCTTCTCTCTGCCTTAGTTTCCTCATCTGTAAAATGGGCATGGTGAAGGTCAAATAAGAAAAGTAGCATTTAGCACCATGCCTAGCATAGTATATTATAAACTTTTATTGTGGCCGATTGTGTTTTTGTTACAGCCACATACTGGTTCCCTTCTCTGTGAGCAGATTCTATGGGCCCATCCACTGCAACATGACTGGCAGTGCTTCCCTACAGGTGGAAGGAATGCACTTCCCTGCTGCATTGCCCGGCTTGGTCATGTGACTTCCATCAGCCAATGGAAGGGGAGCTGACATGACATATGCCATAATGGAGCAGATTGGCAGATGTGATTGCTGGTTGGGATCAGCCAGGAGAAAGTCATGTTTGGTGTTGCTCTTGTAGGTTGGTGCCGTGGAGCAAACCCAACACCAACCATAGCCCTTATGCAACATGAATGAGAAATACATGTTGTAAGCCACTGAGACTTTGGGATGTTTGTCACATCCCAGCTCCCTTGCCACCCTCCATTCAAACAAACTAGTGCAGTTTTATTATTGGTTGAATTGCTAAATTCTGGGGTGAGGTCAGAAGATGAAGAAAACTATGTACTTGCCTTCAATAAACTCACAGCTTTTGGAAGGAAGAGGACTTACTTGACAAATTGACAAATATAAGACAGTCTTGGGTACCAGAGAGTGTGACATTAGGAAGAGAAAGGCAAAAGATTCTAGCTGGAGGAGGAGAGGTTACTCATGGAGAGATGGCATTTAAACTAGAACTTAAAGCAAAGCTGGATCTGACCTTTGTCAGACCCAGGACAAAGGTGCAACTGGAGACTCCCAACTCATCCTTATCCTTATTTTCTCTCCTGTTCTATGCAGGGCCTTGAGTATATGATGCAGTCTCCAGGCCCACATGGACCTAAGGAACAACCAGTGCAGGACTTAAAAATGGGGCCACATGGATAGAAATTCAGGGGTTCCAGATACTCAGATTGTGATCTAGAAGGTCACAGTCTAGAAGGTGGGACACGAACACTGGGTGGGCACTGGAAGAGGCCAGAGCAGAGCCATCTAAAACACGGTACCCAAAGCAGGGGCCCTGGGTACCTGGGTTCCTGGTGGAAGGGTGGTAAAGACTGGGTAGGAATGACAAATGCAGGAGTGGAGACCAGGAAGACAACTGTGCTTTTTGAATGTGGGCATAATATATTTAGACTCATTCTGGTGGCAGCATTGAGGACGGATTGGAGAGAACTGGCCAATTTGTGCATAGAAACAAAACCTAGTGTTTGCAGTAAACATCCCTGATTCACTCCTCTTTCTGCCCCCTCTGTTCTTTGCATGCTGTGGGCTTGCTGTCTCCTGGTGCCTGTGCTTTCCCTGCCCTACCTTATTTTATTGTAATTCTGATAGAGCACATGTTAGCTTTTAAGCCTATATTATCCTTCATCTTAGCCCCAAACTGTGAAGTGATATATTTTTTCCATAGTGTATTTTACAGTTGTGGAAAGAATTGTGGCAACTGGATAGTCAGAGTGGAAACGTGTGATGCTAAATGAAGCAAACTGTAGAATAAAATCTGTGCAGTAGGCCAATGATTCAGAGAAAGGACAAGGACTACAGAGAAAGTAGCACAATTGTGTTGGCACAAGGTGGACTTTTTTTCTCTAAACCTTCTTAACTATTATTGTTGGCTTAAACTTTGAGAAACAATTTTGGTGCAGCATTCCATTAGCAGTGACCCTTCACAGCATCCCAGTCTCCCAGTGTGAACATTTAGGGGCTAGGTCCTGCAGGGAAAGAGGTTGAAGTAGGAATTTACATAATCCGATTATTGGGGGATTAGGTTTGGGCAGCTAAACGCCTCTATGTGCTTGAGCTAAAACCCTTACTATTCATGACTCTCACCACCCCCTGGAGAGACAGCACCTGCAGAGCTCCCTGGGAGGGAACAGGGAGCTGGGGAGGGACAGGCGGGTCTCAAGGGGAGCCTAGGCACTGTGAGCCTCTCTCATCTTGCTGCTTTAATTGATCTGTCTGGATTAGTCTCTGAATACTGGCCCTCTAGTCCGCTGTGCAGGAGTTGTCAGTATCAGGAAAGACCAAACCCGGAGACTTCAGGAGAGATTTCTGCCAGTCCTGGGTGTGGGTCAAGGTCATTTTGGCTAGACGTTGAGCATCAGCCTTACCTGGTGTTAAAATGCGTTTTCTCCCCCAATCCGATGCTTAACTCCTTTCTCAGTCTGTGATTCCAATGTATTCATAATCCTTCATTTATCCAGTCACTACCCATCTTCCACCCATACATTGTGCATATATCCATCACTTTATTCATCGTATGACTCATCTGGTTCTTGATATCTAATATAGTTTTTACTATATATCCATTTAGGTAGTCACTGTTGTTTCATATGCTCTATCTCTGCTTAAGTGAGTTTTGCATTTTGACTTACAAATTTTGATGTTTCAGATTCATTAATAGAGTGCTTTTTTTTTAACACAGGGTTTCACTATGTACTGCAGCCTGGTCTAAAACTTGTGATCCTCCTGCTGCCTCAGCTTCCTGAGTGTTGGGATTACAGGTGTGTGCCACCCTGCCCTGCTAAATGTAGTTATTTATTTGTTTGTTTTTGTGGTACTAAGACCACAACTCAGGGCCTCAAGCTTGCTATGCAAATACTCTTATCACTTGAACTTTGCACGGAGTCCTTATTTATATTATTTTTCATTTAGTAAAGGAAAGCATTCTTAGCTATGAACTTTCTTCTGATATGCGTTTGGGGGTTGGGGATGACCTGTGTTTCTACTTGCAGTATCATTTCCCTTACTTTTTTTTTTTTTTAAACAGGGTCTTGCTATGTAGCTCAGGCTGGCCTCAAACTTTTGATCATCCTACCTCAGCCTCGAGTGTGCTGGGTTTACAGACATATGCCATGATGTCCACCTGCCATTAGTTTCTAAAGTCTGCTATTTTTTTCTTTTAGAAAGTGTTTTTTAAATTTTCTTATTGTTGTATTTTTTGGTAACTACTTGCTGTTACTTTCTAATCCTGTTGCAGTGTAGTCAAAGGTGTACATGGTACGTTTTTTGCTTTGAGATATTCATTGAGATTTTCTCTTTGGTAAAACATATTACCTACTTTTATAAATACTTCATAGTAACTAGAAAAGGAGGTACAGTTTCTGTTTGAAAAATAAAAAGTTTTATACATATCCATTATGTCAGTCTTCTATATTTTTGAAGATTTGGTCTGTTTGATTTATTAGAAAGAATTATGTGAAAACCCCCCTCTATTCTGCATCTGCACTTTTCTTTTTGTGTTTGCAGAAGTGGTTCTTTAGATCTTTATGTATTTTGATGAACTGGTTTTGAAACATAAAAATGCATGGAAGTATATGACTTAGAGAAATATATCCTATGTCAATATAAGATGACCCTCTCTATCTTGCTTTTTTCACAAATTTCATTTTATTTAATATTAATACTAGAAACCTGTTTTTGAATTTGCATCTTCTGAATTAATATATGCCCATTCTTTTGTGGTTAATTTGTTGGTATATAAGACTCTTGGTCATACAAAACTTTCTTGGTAAATTTAAATTCCTTTTATTTTCTCTCTTTTTTTTTTTTTTAAAGAAGCCCTATCTCCATGTTAATTTCTTCAGAACAAATCTCATTCTACTTTACTTAATACATTGTAAACTACATGAGGGCAGGGATTTAGTGCCGTTTATCACCAGAGCCTGGGAATTATGCTCACAACACATAGAAACTGCTTGAGAAGATGTTTCTTCTTGCTGAATGAATGTAAGAACACTCTGTTTTGTTTTGTCAGCCGATATGTAGGTTGCTTCTGTGAGGTGACTGCTTCCAAGGCCATAGAAGGGTGTTTTTGTTTTTAAGGAGAAAACATTCTGCCTGCCATATGGGAGAGGAAGGAAAGGGAGAGGAGAGGGGGACAAGAAAGGACATGCAGGACTAGTTAGAAGACCATGACAAGAATTCAGGCCAGAAAGGATGATGGCTTCACCCAGGGAGTAGCTCTGAACACAACTCTCGGCAGAAACCTCTCTTCCTCCATTACTCAACCCTAAGTGCTAAGTGGCTTGCTAGACATGTCACCCAAATTTATTCATTTCATATGAGAAATTATATTAATTAAAAAGTGACATGACAAGTTATCATTGCAGACCAAACAAAATATTGCTCCTAAACAAGTTAAAGACTAAAACATGTACCTGAAACAAGACTTTGGCATGCAGCTATGTTTTACAAGTGGTTCTTAGACATTTTCCTAGAGCAGCAGAGGCTGCCAGTTCTCACGAATGTCACTGCTATCCCACTTACAGGACCCACAGGGCAACTTAGTGGTTAGCTGGAAGGCTCTGAGGCTCTTCCTGCCCTCTTCCCTTCCAATATCTCCCAAATAAGAAAATTATCAAGCAAACAGCTGCAGGTGAAAGCATGTCACTAAGACATATAGATGGGAGAGATACACTAATGTGGCCTCCCAACTGCCCTGCCTGAGCAGTGGGACAGGAGACAGAGCAGTGAGAGCTTTGTCTTCTCACAAGGAAAGGGAGACTTAGTTGTTTTCACTATTATTTTTAGATTCCCCCAAAGTCATTCCCTAGACAAGACAGAAGAGAGAGGGTAGAATCT